GCCGCCGCCGCCGCCGCCGCGACCGAGCGGGACCACGTGACCGCGCCGGTCGGCAGTACCACCTCGGCGGTGACCGTTACCCGCCCGCTGAGTTTGGCCCAAGCCGAGGGACTCGGCCAGAGGGTCTCCCGCGCTCGCGGCGTCTCGGACTGTTGCCGAACCAGCCCGAGCGCGGGCGAACACAACACCGCTCTTTTCCCTTGCCGGTGGCGCGCGTCGGACCCCGCGCCGGGCCCCTTTCGGCTTGACTTACTCCCCTCACGGAGACACTCGGCCCACGACAGCTTTGGGCCTTTACCCCCGTGGCTGGAGTGTGGAATCGACACGCTCCCCGCGGGACGGCCCGCTTTGTGTTCCGAGAGGACTTAGCTGCAGCGCTCGAGCGGTCGCTAAACGATATCCCTCACCGATAATGCTGTGTTGACTCTGCCACAGAAGTCGACGGTCGCGCAAGGCTCTCGAGCCTCCCAAGGACTCGTTCTCATCGCGCCGCTCGAGAACCCCTGAAGACGGGGCGAAGGAAACTGGCGTGTGAAACACGGTTGCGTTGGTCATTGGTCGGTTCATTAGCTTCAAGATAGCAATCCGAGAGAGACGCTCTCCCCCGCCGTGAGGCACTCAGGCGTCACCGCGAGTGATTGTCATAAGACGCGTCATTTGAGTGCGGACGATGCTCGGGCGGCCCAAACGCTCCCGCAATCGAACTGGCGCACGACCGTTGTTTCGCACGGATGTTTTCCGCGAAGCCCCGAAAAGGAAACCGGCGATCATCCGGAAGAGTCTTTGCGGAACGGGCCGCAGCTCCAGCGTCCCGTGGACGCGGACGATGTCACTGATGGTTTTGGGTCTAATGTCAAGTTTTGATGTGTGTCGAATCTGCGATGACTCCTGAATTGTTCCTGGCAGTTTGGTGGAGGAGAAAAAAAAAGGGGTCCAACTCGCAGTCATTCCCTTTTTGACTTGAAGATTGGCTTATTTGTCACCCAATTTTGTTTTGTTTTGTTTGAGAGGAGCATCCAAAATCGCCCTTGAAAAACAGCTTTTGCGCACACTTATTTTTCTGTCGCTCACTGACAACCGCGTTGGTCAGCATAAACACAAACATAACGACCTCTTGTTTGTCTGCTTTTTTTTTTGTCCCTCTGTTTTATGGGTGTGTGTTGTTGGTGCTTCACGACGTACTTTGGATTTCAAGTATGCTTTTGAACAAAATAAACAAAAACAAAATAAAAACAAAACGCTCTCACGTAGAAAAAAATATCATTGGAACTACAGTCGAACCTCACACACAGTTCAGCACCTGCAAATGTTTGTGTGTGCAGTGATCATTTCCCGGTGTGAGTCCTGCGAGTCCCAGAAAAGTCTGAGTCCCATGATGCATTTTGAGAGTCCCAAATTTCGAATTCTGAAATGGTCTACTTCTTCAATCGCATAGGATAAGAACACAAACAACAACAATATACATTGATGATAGGTTTATTTCTTATCAACAAATGCTGCAAAAATGTCAATAATTCAGGCATACAAGATTATTCTCGCAAAAAAACTAGCTTTAACTTTAGCTGCTTCCTCCGTGATATCTCTGCAATAAACTTTGGCAACACTCGTTTTAACGTGACACGACTTGGCAATCGTCTGCTTTCCGCGCGGCGAAGGCCGATCTCGCGAGACGAGAACGGAAATCTCGTCACGCGAGATCAAAACAACAATGGCGGCCATTTTCAAACTGCGATCGTTGCTGGAAAAAAAGATTTATTGTCTTTTTTTTTGCAATTTTTTTGACTGAGAAATTTCCTTGCGTGCCAACAAAACGCGCATTATTCGGAACTGTGCGTGCAACGGGAAAATTATGCGTCGAGGATCCGGGACGCAGAGGTAACGAGATGGCTGGTGTGTGTGTATTTGTTGAAGACTGATCGCTGTCAGTGACATCAGCAGAGGTAGGCCAGGCGAGGCCACGTGAGGAGAAGAGCCGAACCAGACGGCATCCCGGCGTGTGCGCTATGACCGCCCCCTCGTCAGAACTGGCTTGACGTCTTCAAACCCGAGACCCATCCCCGAATGCACATCGTCACAACCGGATAGCCCGCCGATAGACCACGCGAACGCCGCCACCCAAGCGGAGGCGTGAGAGCGAATGTTCCGTATTGACTAGCTGGAAGGCATTGGGCGCCGCCGTCGCACAAAGAGGATCCGAGAAGCTCCCCCGAGCAGACTTCAGCAACTTGGCTGTGGACTTTGTGACGGACAGAAGTCAAATCGGTCAGCGCCGAGTCCTGCACATCAAGCACAAGAATGATCAGCACTGGCCCGGGCTTAGTCTTGCGTGCACGAGAAGGAGCCCCGCTCGTTAGTGCTAAAAATAATGTTGCCGCCGCCGCGGTCACAGGACTCATCACCCGATGAGTCTGCGTCTCCGCCTCCCGGGCAGAGGTGGCTGTCCTCTCATCCCAAACCTTCGGCAACTTCTGCAGGGGTACAGTGAAGCTCGTCATCAGCCCTTCGATCGCGGGCAAATTGCAGCGCACGGGACGGGAAAGGAAGGCTCTGCAGAATGTGAGCAAGATTGCGCAGCGTGCCGCTGCCGCCGGGGCGTCCGCCCCCCTCCCCGCCGGGAAGTTGGCACCAGCGGGGTCATGGGGAGGGCCCGCCACATCAACAAGGATAACGCGCACACCAATCGCTTCCCTCGAGGGATGCCGTTCAGGAGCGTGAACTCAAGGACCGCTTGACTTGACGCGAGCCATTCGCCTGCCGAATCCTCGTCGTCGTCATCTGACGTGAAGACAACAATTTAATGCTCTCAAGTGGGAAGACGCTTTCTGAAAACACTCGCTAAGATGAAGGATGATGCAATGCTCATTTGGGAAAGTCTAGCATTAAAAGGATTTTTTTTGAGGGGGGGGAGTTGGAAGGTTGGGGTGGCACCTCTTTCAGGCTCTGAGAGATTCATAGACATCAACGGTTATCCAGCGTTGTCGCAACAACCAGTTTGCTAGCGACATGTAGCTAACCTCGACCTCGGGAGGATCCAATGGCGCGGCGCTAGCGTGCGGCGGATACAGGCTTCTGACTCGCCACTTTCGAGTGCCTTGTTGTTGCGACTCATCACCCGATGAGTCTGCGTCTCCGCCTCCGGGGCAGAGGTGGCCCCGGAGTCAAGTCGAAAGCTTCACGTGCAATTAGCGATTAGCGTGGCCCCAAGGAAGAGAAGTTCCACCACAGTGGAAAGGGTGAAAACCTTTCCAGCGCATTCCTGGCGGACCCACATCGCTGACGAGCGCCCCCTGCACTTGCACGACAAGGTCTCGAGCGAAAAGGCCGCACTTTCTCGGGAAAGCCGGAAGGTTTGTCCTCTCATCCCAAACCTTCGGCAACTTCTGCAGGGGTACAGTGAAGCTCGTCATCAGCCCTTCGATCGCGGGCAAATTGCAGCGCACGGGACGGGAAAGGAAGGCTCTGCAGAATGTGAGCAAGATCCGCCCCCCTCGCCCCCAGGAAGTTGGCACCAGCGGGGTCATGGGGAGGGCCCGCCACATCAACAAGGATAACGCGCACACCAATCGCTTCCCTCGAGGGATGCCGTTCAGGAGCGTGAACTCAAGGACCGCTTGACTTGACGCGAGCCATTCGCCTGCCGAATCCTCGTCGTCGTCATCTGACGTGAAGACAACAATTTAATGCTCTCAAGTGGGAAGACGCTTTCTGAAAACACTAAGATGAAGGATGATGCAATGCTCATTTGGGAAAGTCTAGCATTAAAAGGATTTTTTTTGAGGGGGGGGAGTTGGAAGGTTGGGGTGGCACCTCTTTCAGGCTCTGAGAGATTCATAGACATCAACGGTTATCCAGCGTTGTCGCAACAACCAGTTTGCTAGCGACATGTAGCTAACCTCGACCTCGGGAGGATCCAATGGCGCGGCGCTAGCGTGAGCGTGCGGCGGATCCAGGCTTCTGACTCGCCACTTTCGAGTGCCTTGTTGTTGCTGTGTGAAAAAAAAAAAATAAATCCCACGATAACCCGCTGGCTTATCCTCTTTAGGGCGAAATGATTTGGATTTGTTGTTCGGTGTAGACATTAGAAAGATAGTGGATGACAATGTCTCAATTTTTCCAGGTTGGAGTACTTGAATGTATTTTGAGTGGACACGCCCAAAGCATTTGAGAGCAAAGAAACGAGCTCAATTCTTCTCGCCTCATTTTTTGTCTTTTTTTTTTTTTTTTTTTAAATAAATGAAATTCGCACACACGACACCAAAATGCATTGGAGCCTTTAGTCGTGAAAGCTGCCCACACGCGTTTCTGTTTTTTCACCCCAGCGCTCATTTGAAATAGTGAAAAGTTGCCGTCAAGCGTGTTCCTTGCTGCTGGGTGATTGTTGTCATCGTGTCGTCCTTACAGATTTCCAATATCCGATACCCCCATCAAGTCAAGCAGAAAAAGACATTTTTTTTTTCTCTTCCTCTCTCTCTGTGACCTGCCTGGCGCCAACGCGACGAGCTCTGCGTCTCTCTCATAAAAGTCTCATGAAGACTAATGAGGCTCGGAAATGGGCCGCTTCCTGTTTTCCATCCAAAAAAAAAAAAAAAAAGCCAACGGAGTCACGTCTGGTTGCAGGTGAGCTGAGTGAGGGCGCCGCATTCCTTCCAAATGGCTTCTGGGAGTCATTTGTTTGACCCAAATGCACCTGCGGCGAAAACGGGAGAGTGTTTGTCGCATGCGGGGAAACTCGCCGGTCATTTGTGCAGCTCAAGTGCGGCACTTTTGTCCAACGACTTTCACGGTCGTTGAGAAAAGGTTCAAATAAATTCTGCTGCTCTCGGTAGCCCGCCAGACCGTTTTTTGAGGGGGGTCGCGGGGGCCGTAGCCCCAATATATGGAGAGCAGAGCAATTTGTTGTCGGCTTCGCGAATGGCCAGTAAATGCCTTTCAGGTATCTTCGTCCACTGTTAGCGAG